AGAGCGCCGACCCCCCCCCGGGGTCGCGCCGAGTTATCCGCCGCCAGCACCGCTGGTTGAACGCGGGGCGCGAGTTTAAGGTCACGAGAGAGATCCACCAGTTGGCCGTCGAAGGGCGCCCCACGGCAGCGAGATGTTAACTCCCTCGCCCGGTGTACAGGAGGTCGTGGGTTCGATCGCGACCCTGACGCCTGCTGCTGTATATTTGGAGTTGGCGTGTCTCTCTCTCTCATCATCATCACGGTGGCTATGAGATGTTAACTCCCTCGCCCGGTATACATGAGGTCGTGGGTTCGATCGCGACCCTGACGCCTGCTGCTGTATATTTGGAGTTTGCGTGTCTCTCTCTCATCACCATCACGGTGGCTAGGAGATGTTAACTACCTCGCCTGGTGTACAGAAGGTCGTGGGTTCGATCCCGACCCTGACGCCTGCTGTATATTTGGAGTTTGCGTGTCTCTCTCTCTCTCTCTCACACCCCGTGGTCGCCATGGATTGTTCTGCGGGTCCTCCGGTTTTTCCCCTCCACGGTGTAAAAACAACATCGCGCGTTCAGAATATTTGTCTGCTATGAATTTCCACACGATGATCAGGAATCCATATTCCTTGGGTCTGTCGGTGAAGTCACGTAGATAATAGGTTCAAAGAAATTAACAAAAAACGACGACGTTACGATCGCAACACAACACAAGCGGTCGTCCTGATGCGTTGCGATCGAAACGTCGTAGTTTTTTGTTATTTCCTTTGAACCTATCTACGTGACTTTACCGAAAGACCCAATTAATAAAAAAAATAGTTTAGTTTAGCTTAGACCGCGGGATTCACTCGCTGTGCGGGCCTGCGGCAGACGGTAGGTCATTCGCTGCTGTAACGTATGTGTGTTTGTGTGTACGTTGAACTTCTTTCGTACCGTACGTAGCCAACCGTGCTAATCGGAGGTGCGGAGGAAGGACAACAACAAACACTAAAACACACACACACAAAAAAGGAAACTCGCGTTGATGCCTTCCCGTACGAGTGTTGGTCACGGGAGGCTGCTTGACCATACTTCACCACGCTGGTCAGCGTAGATTGCTGACCGGGTTGGAGGGGTGAGCGTGTGTGTGGCGTTCCCAGGACTGATTCAGACGTTGGTCGCCACCGACGGTTTAGCCCTGCTCAGGAATCTCACCGCGTGTTGCCCGGCTCACGGCGCATTTGCGCCTTCGAACCGCTGTACCCACGAGGCCCAAATCCACGCTCCGTCATTGCTTTGCCATGACAACAACAACAAAAATTAAAGTCGGTCACGATCCCACAGAGGTGGGAAATTCCACATTCCTACGGCGGCAGGTGCGACTCGTCTAACCGTGCAACGGACAACCGCTCCACTCACTCCACTCGTCGCTGGTGTGGAGACAAAGACGCCGACCACAACAAGAACAGCAAAAAGCGTTTCCGTGATTTCTCTCTCCACGCTTGCACCGATGCGGGTGGCCCAGCTGCGACCATCTCAAAAGGGGGGTGCAGCAGGGGCACGTGGGTGCAGCAGGGGCACGTGTGTGCAGCAGGGGCACGTGGGTTGCAGCAGGAGCACGTGGGGCAGCAGGAGCACGTGGGTTGCAGCAGGGGCACGTGGGTGATGCAGGGGCACGTGGGTGCAGCAGGAGCACGTGGGTGCAGCAGGAGCACGTGGGTGCAGCAGGGGCACGTGGGTGATGCAGGGGCACGTGGGTGCAGCAAGGGGCACGTGTGTGCAGCAGGGGCACGTGGGGAACCCCGCACTGTCGCTCCATCGTCAAAACGCGCACCGCTCACGCGGACGCGCGTAAGGAACACGTGACGGCACTTTGCTAACTCTGCGTCGCCACCCAAATATCCCAAGGCACGTGTTTTGGTTGGCATTACCGTACTTACCCTATTTGGTTGGCATTACCGTACTTACCCTATTTATTGCTAAAAGAGCGGCCCCGCTGCGCTTGACGCTGCGTCGTGGCCGTGTTTGTGTGGCTGTGTGTCTGTGTCAATGTGTGTCTGTGTGTCTGTGTGTGTCTGTGTGTCTGTCTGTGTGTCTGTGTGTGTGTGTCTGTGTCAATGTGTGTGTCTGTGTGTCTGTGTGTGTCTGTGTGTCTGTGTGTGTCTGTGTGTGTCTGTGTGTCTGTCTGTGTGTCTGTGTGTGTGTGTCTTTGTGTGTGTGTCTCTGTGTGTCTGTGTGTGTCTGTGTGTCTATCTTTGTGTCTGGCTGTGTGTCTGTGTGTTGATGTGTGTGGGGAGCGGTGGTGGTAGCGGTTAGCGCTACGCTACGAACCCGGCGGCCGGAGTTCGATTCCTGTTCACGGCCAACACCGATGACGATTGTTTGAACCGGTCCTGGGCCTCCTCCCCTAGGTCGACTCAGCCTCAAATGAGTGCCTGGTGCGGTGTGTAAACACCGTCACTTCGGGAGACAAAGGCGGCCGGGCGTGGTTGCTGGCCACCCCATCCCCTCGCGTGTCGTCCCGGCCTTAATAGGTGTTGCTACTCGCTAACGGCACTTGCCCCGACAGTATATCAAGGCTACAACGGGAGGGGGAGCTTCTTTGTCTGTTATACATTGTAGCGCATTATGCTGAGCGACTGCCTAATGCTTGCCTACCCCATCGACTCCATCACCCAGAAGCCCTCCGTGTACCTGCACCTCCCGTGCGTGAGTGCGATTACTCAGCAGCATCACAAGCTGCTCGTTACAGCGAATATAACTGACAGTTAAATAATAATATTAATAAAACACATTTTTACAGACCTTTGTAAATCCACTGCTGGATGAACCGCCTGGCCCATGCCGCGTTCGACTCGGCTGTAACGTCACCACCATGTGCTGGATTTCAGAAATTCACTCGCATCCACCGGATGGCAAAAGCCGCGGATTGGGACTCGAACTCAGATCACCGAGTGTCCGTAGCCCGGTTCGCGAACCAGTTGGTTCCCTGTCGCCTCTCAGTCAAGCCACGCGCTCGGTGGGGGCATTCCACTCGACCGCCGGTGGCTCTCAAACTTCTGTTGTGGCTTGGACGCCCCTCCACACCCCTTGGGTGACAAAACGCAATCGACTCCCCCTCTCTCTAAATACCACTCATAAAAAAAAGTTATTCCTATCACCTCGAACATATATATTTTATTTTAAAAACGCGGCTATATATTTTTTGGCGAGGAGGTGGTGGGGTGGGGGGAGCATTTATAGTTGAACGAGGAGTAGTTGACAGAACTTACATAATTTTTTGGGATTAAATATCACGGGGTATCAACGTGAATTCACGTCCAGAAACGAGACGGAGTTAACAAACGTCGTGACCGTCTGCCCATCGACCCCCTCGCGTTCGCATCACCGGACACCACGGGGACCCCCGGCTGGGGAGAGCCGTCGTGGACACCCCTTGGCGACACCGTTGAGAGCCGCTGCTCCTCTGCGCGGCGTAGTGCCGAGCGGTGCTCGCGTACACACACACACGCGAACACACACACACACACACGAGCACACACACACACACGAACACACACACACACACACACGAGCACACACACACACGAGCACACACACACACGAGCACACACACACACGAGCACACACACACACACACGAGCACACACACACACGAGCACACACACACACACACGAGCACACACACACACACACGAGCACACACACACACGAGTACACACACACAAGCACACACACACAAGCACACATACACGAGCACACACACACACACGCCAGCACCCACGCACACGTCGTTCGCGCCGTACGCTAGCCAACCCCGTGCTCGCAAGGTCCCGGGGGGTGGAGGGGAGAGGGGGTAAGCACCTTTCGATTTAATTTCACAAACGGCCAATAAAGTAATTTTTTCATTTTACATGAAACTAAACGCGTTCGTCGATTTAAAAAAAAAAACATAAAAGATCATTCTACTCATGTTGCTGTGAAGAAGGACCATTGCCCGGAACGTTGTCTGTTTTACGTCCGTTGTTGTTGTTGCTGTTGTTCATATTAAGGCCACACACAGAGAGAGGGGGGGGAGTTTGACGACTGAGTCGTTGAGTTCGCGTTGTTGGCTGTGCACCGCTACCAACGCAGCAGCGGCATCAGCAGCATCAGCATCAACAGCAGCAGCAGGAGGAGGAGGAGGAGCAGGAAGAGCATCGCCCATTCATTGACGGCCCACGGAACGTTTGCAGGGGTCGAGACACGAGCGGCGCGCTCCAGGAAGCACCGGTCACGACCTCCGCTGTTCCGCAACATCTGAGTCGTAACCCTTCCTGCTGCGCGCGACTCTGCTTCTCTCATTCCTCGTTGGTGCGCCCGGCGTGGCGCACGTGGCGCGAGTGGCGTGGCGCACGTGATGCACGTGGCGTGAGGCACGTGACGCACGTGGCGTGAGGCACGTGACGCACGTGGCGTGAGGCACGTGACGCACGTGGCGTGGCGCGAGTGGCGTCGCGCACGTGATGCACGTGGCGTGAGGCACGTGACGCACGTGGCGTGAGGCACGTGATGCACGTGGCGTGAGGCACGTGATGCACGTGGCGTGGCGCGAGTGGCGTCGCGCACGTGATGCACGTGGCGTGAGGCACGAGACGCACGTGGCGTGACGCACGTGACGCACGTGGCGTGACGCACGTGATGCACGTGGCGTGAGGCACGTGATGCACGTGGCGTGGCGCACGTGGCGCGAGTGGCGTGGCGCACGTGACGCACGTGGCGTGAGGCACGTGATGCACGTGGCGTGAGGCACGTGACGCACGTGGCGTGAGGCACGTGACGCACGTGGCGTGAGGCACGTGACGCACGTGGCGTGGCGCGAGTGGCGTGGCGCACGTGGCGCGAGTGGCGTGGCGCACGTGACGCACGTGGCGTGAGGCACGTGACGCACGTGGCGTGAGGCACGTGATGCACGTGGCGTGGCGCGAGTGGCGTCGCGCACGTGATGCACGTGGCGTGAGGCACGTGATGCACGTGGCGTGAGGCACGTGACGCACGTGGCGTGACGCACGTGATGCACGTGGCGTGGCGCACGTGGCGCGCGCACGTGTGCTTCGTTTCAGAGGCGAGGGGGAGAGGGGAGCGCGGGGTGGGGGGGATGACCAAAAAGCCGTGTCGAAGAAAATCTCGCCGGGGCCTACTGGAGCCTGGACCAGTAGTGTGCGAGCTCCTGGTCTCCACTCGGGATGGAGAGTGGGAAGGAGAGGCCCAGTGACAGCATCCCTACACGGCGGGCGGGCGGGGCGGGGGGGACATACGCGGTACTGTTAACTACCTCGCCTGGTATACAGGAGGTCGTAGGTTCGATCCTGACCCTAACACCTGCTGCTGTATATTTGGAGTTTGAATGTCTCTCTCTATCATCACCATTGTGGCTAGGAGATGTTTAACTACCTCGCCTGGTATACAGGAGGTTGTGGGTTCGATCCCGATCCTGACGTCTGCTGTATATTTGGAGCTTGTGTGTGTCTCTCTCTCTCTCCCCATGGTCGCGTGGAGTTTTCTCCCTCCACATTTATAATTATAAATGTATAATTATAAGTGTGGAGGGACAAGGTCACGCGTTCAAGAGCGTTCGACTGCTGCTATAAATTCCACGTGACGACGACGATGATGATGATAAGCCGCCACTTCGTTGAGCTATTATTATTATTATTTACGATAACCAGGTCGCGTCTGCAAAGAAAAGAGCCACTACATAGCTCAATTGTGCCTTATTGACCTGCTAAAATAATAATAATAACAAAAAAATAAATAGTTTCGGTTTTTTAGTTGTAACGCGTGCGCGAACCGCTGCCAAGGCCCCAACGGTTAACGTGATGGGACGAGGCGATCTCGACGAGGCTGACCTCGTGCTCTCTTTGTGTGACCACGTGCCCAGCAGGTTGGGGGAGGGGGGGGGGGCTGTCCTCTCTTACCGTGGGGATAGGTCACGCTGTGGGGACTCTGCTCGCCGCCGCATATAAATATCGCCGTAGAAACGGGGAGGTTTCAGTATCAAAATCCCCACTCTGTTCCTGGTCGCTACAATTAACTGTATATATACACGTGTATGTGTGAACAGTGAGAGAGAATACATTATTGTACCGTTGAATCCCAGATGGCTAAAACGATTTAATAAAATAATAACAATAAAATATAGTATTACACACTTGGAATAATCGTTAGCGTGTTAAACCGTCACCTTTTAAATCATGTAGATTGACAACTAAATATCTTTCAAACTGCTTTTTGTGTTTAGTTTGTTGTCCTTCCACCTATGATTAGCACGGTTGGCTACGTACGGTGCGAAAGAAATTCATACAAGCACGTGGCACTTATTATTGTCATCATACAACTTGATGGAGAGCTCTCCCAAAGCCCCAGTCGCTTTGTATGGACGTTGAACTTCTTTCGCACCGTACGTAGCCAACCGTGCTAGATCGGAGGTGCCGGGGGAAGGATACGTGTAACTCATCCAGTCACCTGGCGTGCGTTCGGAATCTAAATATTTGTTTACACGGGAGAAATCCGACGACCTATAAAGCTCTTCGCCCCGCATGTCCGGCGTCGCACGCCCCCACAGCCTGTGACGTCACAGCCGGCAGAGGTGGCGGTTCCATTCCGCTCACCTGTGGATCCAGTGTTGGTCGCTCCCATTGGCTGGCTGCCCACGTGCGGTGACGGCTGATTGTTTGAGTACGCTTCGAACCCTCGCATCGGATTGGACGACACCATGCACGAGAAAGCCTGCGTCTGATTGGTGGACGTCGGCTGAGCGAGATGGGAAACGTCGCACGGGCGTAGAAATAACCCAGTCTTAGCAACTAATACACGGGACAATTACAATAACAATTATAATAATAACAATGATAATAACAACAGGTTGCAAGGTCGGTCCATTTACTCATCGCAAAATATCAGATGCACCCAAAAAGAGTGATTGTATTTAATGTGACAGGCTTGCATCGATGCAAATCTAGACAATTGCACGGGTTATTGGAAGTAATCCTCTGTTAAAATGATCCGAATTTAGGCGGCAAATCTGCGACGCGGGCACCGTCGCCCCGCCGGGCACCAGCTGCCCCGTCCAACACGAGCGTTTATCGAGCAAGCATTGCCCAGCGGGTCTTGCCGAACTCATTATACGCACGCACGCACGATAGGACCACCGACACCTTGCTGCTGATCTCGTTCAGGATCATAAACCAACCATCGTCACGCCACACTCGGGTGTCGCGTGACGATGGTTGGTTAGCAGCAGTGGTACCAGCAGCAGTAGCAGTGACAGCAGCAGTGGTAGCAGCAGTAGCAGTGACAGCAGCATTGACAGCAGCAGCAGTAGTAGTGACAGCAGCATTGACAGCAGCAGCAGTGACAGCAGCAGTGACAGCAGCAGTGACAGCAGCAGTAGTGACAGCAGCAGCAGCAGTGGTAGCAGTGACAGCAGTAGCAGTGACAGCAGCGGCAGCAGTGGTAGCAGCAGCAGCAGTGACAGCAGTAGCAGTGACAGCAGTAGTGACAGCAGCAGCAGCAGTGGTAGCAGCAGCAGTAACAGTGACAGCAGCAGCAGTGACAGCAGCAGTAACAGCAGCAGCAGTGACAGCAGCAGTGACAGCAGCAGCAGTATCAGTGACAGCAGTATCAGTGACAGCAGCAGCAGTGACAGCAGCAGTGACAGCAGCAGTGACAGCAGCCGCAGTAGCAGCAGCAGTTACAGCAGCAGTGACAGCAGCAGTGACAGCAGCAGTGACAGCAGCAGTGGTAGCAGCAGCGGCGGCTTTTGGCTAAAGCCATCAAACAAAGACGGTCACTGGCGTCGCGCGCTTTCAGGTGCGCCTCTGCGGCCGTCTGGAACGCTCTTTTTAAATCATCCAGTTTGTTGTCCTTCCCCCGCACCTCCGTTTAGCACGGTTATGCTACGTAAGCGCGGAAGAAGCTCAACGCACATACGTGCACAATCTCGATTTGAAGCTTTCGTGACTGCAGGAATCCATCCTCTTTGGCTCTTTCGGTAAAGTCACGTAGGTAGAAAATTAAAATAGATCACGTGACGTTTCGATCGTAACACAAGCGACCGTCATCAGGTGGGACAAACACAGCAGGAGGACTGCTGTGTTTGTCTCTCCTGATGACGGTTGCGATCGAAACGTCGTGATCTATTTTAATTTTCTACCCTCGTGACTTTACCGAAAGAACCAAAGAGTATGCATGCACAAGTCACGGTCATGCATGTCCGGGAAATATTGTGCAAGTTGCAAATTGCATTCCAATTTGTATTGTTACTTCACACCCGTAGCACCGTACCCTGCCCCTTCTTTAAGACTCACGGCCACCGACACGAGTGACGAATATTTGAACGGGTCCTGGGCCTCCCCTAGGTCGGCTCGGCCTCAAATGAGTACTGGGGAGACAAAGGCGGTCGGACGTGGTGCTGGCCACCCACCCCCTCGTGTGCCGTTACCGGCCTTCATAGGTGCTGCTCGCTAACATCACTTGCCCCTACAGTCTGTTAAGGCTATACGGGGGATCTTTGTCTTTTTTCTTTTTTTGTGTGCGCGTGTGTGTGCGTGCATGCGCGTGTGTGTGCGTGCGTGTGCGTGCGTGTGCGTGCGTGTGTGTGCGTATGTATGTGTGCGCGTGTGTGTGCGCGTGTGTGCGTGTGTGTGCGTGCGTGCGTGTGCGTGTGCGTGCGTGTGTGTGCGTGCGTGCGCGTGCGTGCGCGTGTGCCGCACCTGGCTGGGTAGCCCACCGCCCGGGTAGCTGGGCATGGGGCCCATGGCTCCATAGGCACCGGGGATGCTCACCGACTCTACCGGGCTCAGCATCTGACCTGCAACGGCCGCTGTGCGTTAGAGCAGTGGGTTCCAACCGGGGGCGGGGGGCGGGGGGCGGGGGGGTGGAGATCCGTGGGGACCTCTGGGGGGTACATGAGGTTACTTGTCAATTTGATAAATCACCTGGGCACCGGAACGCGAGCTCACCTTGTTGCGCGTGCGAGTGGTGGTGCTGGAAGGAGACGCCGTAGGCCCCCTGGGCGTTGGTGCCCTGGCTGGGGTCCCCCGCGTCCCCGCCGGCCAGCTGCCGCCTCTGGTGCCGCATCTTCTCCTCGCGACGCCACTTGGCGCGGCGGTTCGAGAACCACACCTGGGACAGGGCGGACGGCGAACGCGGACGGTGAACGGTGGCGTGCGGAGGTTCGCGTTGGCGGTGGCGGGGCGGGGGGTGGTGTGGAATGTACGCATGCACGTTTGAGGTTATATCGCGCCGTGCGTAGGACGAACGTGATAATCGTAGGTGCGGGGCGGGGCGGGGAAGGGAGGACAAGATACTAAACACAAAAGGCGGTTGTGAATAAATTAGTTTTCAATCCACGCGACCTTAAAGTGCGTGGCTCCCAGCGCCTGAAAGCGCACGACGCGGTGACCTGTTTTCAACTAAAACCGAACATTTTATTTTTTATTTTTTTACCAGGTCAGGCCCCGCTGAGGTGTCGAGGCTCTTTTTTCAGAAGCCCCCTGGCCACACAAGTGACAGCCCAGGCGGCATATCGTGCGGACACTTACAGCAAGCCGAAGAACCCCGACGTTGATTCTCAACGTGGAGGGGGGAAAACCAGAAGGGACCCGGAGAAAAATATAAACTCCCACACACGGAATCGAACCCGCGACCTCGTGCACACCGGGCGAGGTAGTCAACATCTCCTCGCCACCAGGGCCAGCCGAAAGCCGCCGCTGATGGCCGCGGTGATGGTGTCGCGCGTCCTCCGGCAAGCACGAGAAGAGCCCTTCCCCGTTACCTGTATCCTCGCCTCCGGGAGGTCGATTTTCGAAGCCAACCTCTCGCGGGCGAACACGTCGGGATAGTGCGTCCGCTCGAATTCTACACAAAGACACAGATCCCCCGTGTAGCCTTTAGACTGCTGGGGGGGCAAGTGCTGTCAGCGAGCAGTTATGAGTCACAGCGCAAATACAAAGATCCCCCGTGTAGCCTTTAGACTGCTGGGGGGCAAGTGCTGTTAGCGAGCAGTTATGAGTCAGCGCAAATGTAAAGATCTCCCGTGAGAGCCTTTAGACTGTTGGGGGCAAGTGCTGTCAGCGAGCAGTTATGAGTCACAGCGCAAATACAAAGATCCCCCGTGTAGCCTTCAGGCTGTTTGGGGCAAGTGCTGTTAGCTAAGATCTATGAGTCACAACACAAATACAAAGATCCCCCGTTTAGCCTTAAGACTGCTGGGGGCAAGCGCTGTGAGCGAACACCCATGAGTCACACCACAAAGACAAAGATCCCCCGTATAGCCTTTAGAGTGTTTGGGGCAAGTCCTGTAAGCGAGGGCCTGTGAGTCATAACACAAAAGCAAAGATCCCCCGTATAGACTTGAGACTGTTTGGGGCAAGTGCTCTTGGCGAGCATCTATGAAGGCCGGCACGGCACACGAGATGGTTGGGGTGGCCGACACCACGCCCGGCCGCCTCTGTCTCCCCAGTGGCGATGTTTTTACACATCGCGCCAGCTACTCGATTTGAGGCTGAGTCGACCTCGAGGGGAGGCCCAGGACCGGCTCAGATAATCGTCGCCGGTGTTGTCCGTGAGCGGGAATCGAACCCGTGCCGCCGGATTCGCCGACGCTAACCGCTGCTACCGCTTCCCACAACGCTCACGCACGTGTGCGGGGGATCCCAGACGTTCCGTTGACAGCTTAGGCCGGTGATGTCACACTGCCTTGTGGAACACCAACTAAGGCCACGCTGCTAACGTGCTCTCAATGGACCGGCTTTGCGGATTGTCATCGAGCTCGCAGAGAGACCAAAAGGGAAACAAGTCGCGAATGGGGTCAGTTTCTTCTGTCTGGCCTCTCTGTTTCACATTGCTATGGGGAAGGGCCGTTGCCTGAAACGTCACCTGTTATATTTGTTTTCCCCTTTAAGGCAACATGTACGCGCGCGCATTGTTGTTGTTAACGAGTGTGTTTATAATTATTTGTTAATTGTGCTTCTGCAGTGCTTACAAAGCGGTAGCAGCGGCAAGTGGTTGGCATAGTCTGGGGTTGTCTATAGGTACAGAATTTAGTGCATTACACCGGGGGGGGGGGGGCGGGGGGGGGGACGACCAACGGATAAGGAGGTCAAGAGGTGACTTTGTGTGAGCAACAAAGACAGAGAGAGAGGGCGGAGCGGGGGGGGTTTATGGGGAACGTAAAAACTGCTTTGGAAAAGTGGGCAGGTCAACTTTTAGTGCTCAAGGAGATGTGTGTCTGTGTGCGTGTGTGTGTGCGTGTGTGTGTGCGTGTGTGTGCGTGTGTGCGTGTGTGTGCGTGTTTGTGTGTGCGTGTGCGTGTGTGTGCGTGTGTGTGCGCGTGTGTGTGTGCGCGTGTGTGTGCGCGTGTGTGTGTGTGTGTGTGCGTGTGTGCGTGTGTGTATGTGTGCGTGTGTGTGCGTATGTGTGTGTGTGTGCGTGTGTGTGCGTGTGTGTGTGTGCGTGTGTGCGTGTGTGTATGTGTGCCTGTGTGTGCGTATGTGTGTGTGTGCGTGTGTGTGCGCGTGTGTTTGCGCGTGTGTGCACGTGTGTGTGCATGTGTGTGTGCGTGTGTGCGCGTGTGTGCGTGCGTGTGTGTGTGCGTGTGTGTATGCGTGTGTGTGCGTGTGTGTGTGTGCGTGCGGGTGTGCGTGTGTGTGCCTTTGTCTTTGGGGCGGTAGTTTAGTGGCGGTTAGCGCTGCGAACCCGGCGTCCCGGGTTCGATTCCCGCTCACGGCCACCGACACCGGTGTGACGATTATCTGAACCGGGGCCTCCCCTAGGTCTACTCAGCCTCAAACGAGTTCCCTGGTGCCGTGCGTAAAAACATCACCACTCGGGAGACAAAGGCGGCCGGGCGTGCGTGGTGCTGGCCAACCCAGCGCCTCGTGTGCCGTTCGGTGCTCGCTACATAACAGCACTTGCCCCAACAGTCTGTTACAGGCTACACGGGGGGTGGATGTGTTGCCTTTGCGGGTCAGGAGGGGCTGAACTTCTGGTCACGAGGCGTCCACAAGAGGATGCCGTGTGGCCTCGGAGTTGAAGTGCCATGGGGGGGGGGGGGCGGGATGGGGGGACTGCGAGGACATTTCCCAAAGGCAACTGGAGCGGTTTTCGAATTCGAACGCGACTGGAAATCACCCGGACACAAGGAGGGAGGGGTAGCAACGGGAGGGGTTGGAAGCGTTGCGATTGCAGTGCGGCTGTTTAGAGCAGCGCCGCTTCTTCTTCTTAGCCTGGGGGTGCACGCAACACCCCTAGGGGTGCGGGATGCCCCTTTCTGGGGGTGGCGAGACACGGGCCAGACTGATTCCGGAGGATAATAATAATCTTTAGGAACAAAATTAGCACGGGCACGTAAAGTGCGACTTACTTTGTTTAATCAAACCCCTTCTGTGTTTATTGACACCCTACATTGTTTTAACGATTGAGAACCAATGGGGTGCAGGGTGGAGTAGAGGTTAAGAGTCACCGCTTTGAATTATTTCAGCCGCTATGAATTCCCACGTGACGGTCTGCCATCCCGTTGCGCTATCACGTGGTGTGGCCTGATCGCTTCTGCAACGTAGGCTAATAGCTCAGTGGGTTTTACTTGGTGAAACATTTTCTCCTACTCTGAACTCCTTTGTATTGTTTGTTGTTGTAACTTCATGAGCCCGTGCCCTTACTGGACATCCGAGAAAATGATTGCTTCATAGCTCATCGGATTCATCCTGCAGGTATGACTGCGGATTCTGATTCTGACTGAGAGAGTGGCACAGAGTGGTTTGTTGAGCCCGAGGGAAGCCCTGAGCCAATGTCGAAGGTCAGATTCAACTTTGAAGGATTGAAGCCACGGTGATGAGTGACAAAACAATTAATTTTATTTGACCAGGTAAGGACGCCTGAGCTATATAGCTCTTTTTTTCCCTTGCAAAATCGACCTGGCTATGACAAATGATAGCTCGACGAAGTGTCTTTAATAACGTGGACATTTACAGCAGCCAAATACCGTAAACGCGTGATGCTCGTTCTAAATGTGGACGGAAAAGGCCGGAGGAGCACGGGGAAAAATCCACGCGACCACGAGGAGTGACAGAGAGAGAGACACACCGCAAACTCCAAATATACAGCAGCAGGCATCAGGGTCGGAATCTAACCCACGACCTCCTGTACACCGGGCGATGGAGTTAACATCTCCTAGCCACTGTGGCAGCTCAACGACGGGGGGTGGTGGTGTCTTGGCCAAGGGGGGGCCCACTAAAGGCCACGAGGGCTACCGCCAGTGCCCACCACCACCATCACCCCCACCTCGCCCCACACACCCCGCACCTTTCTCCAGCGCCTGTATCTGCTGGTGGGTGAACGAGGTGCGGTTGCGCTGCAGCTTCCGCTTGAGCTGGAGCCTCATCTGGACGTCGTCGGAGTCGTCGGCGGAGGACGCGGTGCTGCCACCCCCGCCCACCTCGCGGTAGTCACACCCCTCCAGCTCTGGCGGGGTGGGAGGTAGGGGGGGGGGGCGGGTTAAAGGGGGGGGGGGCGCTCGTGGCCTGCAGCTTGCAGCAGTGGTAGTAGCAGCAGTGGTAGCAGCAGCAGTAGCAGTGACAGCAGCAGTGGTAGCAGTGACAGCTGCCGTGGTAGCAGTGACAGCAGCAGTGACAGTAGCAGTGACAGCAGCAGCAGCAGTGACAGCAGCAGTGACAGCAGCAGTGACAGCAGCAGCAGTGACAGCAGCAGTGACAGCAGCAGCAGTGACAGCAGCAGTGACAGCAGCAGTGACAGCAGCAGCAGTGACAGCAGCAGTGACAGCAGCGACAGCAGCAGTGACAGCAGCAGTGACAGCAGTGACAGCAGCAGTGACAGCAGCGACAGCAGCAGTGACAGCAGCAGTGACAGCAGCAGTGACAGCAGTGACAGCAGTGACAGCAGCAGTGACAGCCACAGCAGCAGTGACAGCAGCGGTAGCAGCAGCAGTGACAGCAGCAGTGGTAGCAGCAGTGACAGCAGTGACAGCAGCAGTGACAGCAGCAGCAGTGACAGCAGCAGTGGTAGCAGCAGTGACAGCAGTGACAGCAGCAGTGACAGCAGTGACAGCAGTGACAGCAGCAGTGACAGCAGCAGTGGAAGCAGCAGTGACAGCAGTGACAGCAGCAGTGACAGCAGCAGTGACAGCAGCAGTGACAGCAGTGACAGCAGTGACAGCAGCAGTGACAGCAGCAGTGGTAGCAGCAGTGACAGCAGTGACAGCAGCAGTGACAGCAGCAGTGACAGCAGCAGTGACAGCAGTGACAGCAGTGACAGCAGCAGTGACAGCAGCAGTGGTAGCAGCAGTGACAGCAGTGACAGCAGCAGTGACAGCAGCAGCAGTGGTAGCAGCAGGCGAATGTTCGCCCCATGCGTGGCGCTCACCGAAGGCGCCGTCCCCAGCAGCGGCAGAGGCGCTGCCGCAGGCGACCCAGCCGAGCTTGGAGGCCCAGGGGCCCGCGGCGGGGCCGCCGAGCAGCGGCCCCGCGGCGTCGCCGTGGCCCGGCGGGTGAGGAGCCGAGGAGGAGGAGGAGGCGAGGGGGCCCCCCCACGCCTTGCCCCCTGCGCTGTCTGGGCACGGGTGGAGGCCCGCATCGTGCAGGCCGCCCCCGGCGGCGAGCAGGAGGTGGTGGTGGTGGTGCTGCTTGTCGCTGGAGATGTTGCGCAGCACCCGGTTGATGGACGACACCTGCGGGCGGGGTTGAGACGCGTGGCGTTGAGGGTCACCAGCAGCTGGGCTTCTTTGCTGTCGTTCACCATGACCGCGCGCCGCGCACGGCTCCGGTCGAAGCGCGGTTCGGCTACGCGCCGTGGCCAAAGAGGTTCAACGTACGTGGACTCGTTCAGAGACCCATAGACTCATGCAGAGACCCATGGACTCCTCGCACAGAGACCCATAGACTCCTCGCACAGAGATCCATAGACTCCTCGCACAGAGACCCATAGACTCCTCGCACAGAGACCCATAGACTCCGAGATCGATAGACTCATACAGAGACCCACAGACTCATACAGACACCCATAGACTCACGCAAAGACCCGTAGACTCACCCAGAGACCCATACACTCGCACAGAGACCCATAGACTCCGAGATCCATAGACTCATGCAGAGACCCATAGAATCCTCGCACAGAGACCCATAGACTCAAACAGAGACCCATAGACTCACACAGAGACGCACAGACTCGCACAGAGACCCATAGATTTCGAGACCCATAGACTCATACAGAGACCCATAGACTCGCACAGAGACCCAGAGACTCATCGAACAGAGACCCATAGACTCACACAGAGACGCACAGACTGGCACAGAGACCCATAGATTTCGAGACCCATAGACGCATACAGAGACCCATAGACTCACACAGAGATGCACAGACTCGCACAGAGACCCATAGATTTCGAGACCCATAGACTCATACAGAGACCCATAGACTCGCACAGAGACCCAGAGACTCATCGAACAGAGACCCATAGACTCCGAGACCCATAGACTCATACAGATACCCATAGACTCATACAGAGACCCATAGACTCACACAGAGACCCATAGAATCACACAGAGACCCATAGACTCACACAGAGACCCATAGACTCGCACAGAAACCCATAGATGCACAGACCCATAGACTCATACAGAGACCCATAGACTCATACAAAGACCCATAGACTCACACAGAGACCCATAGAGTGATACAGACACCCATAGACTCCCACAGAGACCCATAGAGTGACACAGACACCCATAGACTCACACAGAGACCCATAGAGTGACACAGACACCCATAGACTTACACAGAGACCCATAGAGAGACACAGACATCCATAGACTCACACAGAGACCCATAGAGTGACACAGACATCCATAGACTCACACAGAGACCCATAGAGTGACACAGGCACCCATAGACTCACGCAGAGACCCCTAAAGTGACACAGACACCCATAGACTCACACAGGGACCCATAGAGTGACACAGACATCCATAGACTCACAAAGAGACCCATAGAGTGACACAGACACCCATAGACTCACACAGAGACCCATAGAGTGACACAGACACGCATAGACTCACACAGAGACCCATAGAGTGACACAGACACGCATAGACTCACACAGAGACCCATAGAGTGACACAGACACCCATAGACTCACACAGAGACCCATAGAGTGACACAGACACCCATAGACTCACACAGAGACCCATAGAGTGACACAGCCACCCATAGACTCACACAGAGACCCATAGAGTGACACAGACACCCATAGACTCACACAGAGACCCATAGGTGTGACACAGACACCCATAGACTCACACAGAGACCCATAGAGTGACACAGACACCCATAGACTCACGCAGAGACCCATAGAGTGACACAGACACCCATAGACTCACACAGAGACCCATAGAGTGACACAGACACCCATAGACTCACACAGAGACCCATAGAGTGACACAGACACCCATAGACTCACACAGAGACCCATAGAGTGACACAGACACCCATAGACTCACACAGAGACCCATAGTGTGATACAGACACCCATAGACTCCCACAGAGACCCATAGAGTGACACAGACACCCATAGACTCACACAGAGACCCATAGAGTGACACAGACACCCATAGACTTACACAGAGACCCATAGAGAGACACAGACATCCATAGACTCACACAGAGACCCATAGAGTGACACAGACACCCATAGACTCACACAGAGACCCATAGTGTGATACAGACACCCATAGACTCACACAGAGACCCATAGAGTGACACAGACACCCATAGACTCACACAGAGACCCATAGAGTGACACAGACACCCATAGACTTACACAGAGACCCATAGAGAGACACAGACATCCATAGACTCACACAGAGACCCATAGAGTGACACAGACACGCATAGACTCACACAGAGACCCTTAGAGTGACACAGACACCCATAGACTCACACAGAGACCCATAGAGTGACACAGACATCCATAGACTCACACAGAGACCCATAGAGAGACACAGACATCCATAGACTCACACAGAGACCCATAGAGTGACACAGACATCCATAGACTCACACAGAGACCCATAGAGTGACACAGACACCCATAGACTCACACAGAGACCTATAGAGTGACACTGACACGCATAGACGCACACAGAGACCCATAGAGTGACACAGACACGCATAGACTCACACAGAGATCCATAGAGTGACACAGACACCCACAGACTCACACAGAGACCCATAGAGTGACACAGACACCCATAGACTCACACAGAGACCCATAGAGTGACACAGACACCCATAGACTCACACAGAGACCCATAGAGTGACACAGACACCCATAGACTCACACAGAGACCCATAGAGTGACACAGACACCCATAGACTCACACAGAGACCCATAGAGTGACACAGACACCCATAGACTCACACAGAGATCCATAGAGTGACACAGACACCCATAGACTCACACAGAGACCCATAGCGTGACACAGACACCCATAGACTCACACAGAGACCCATAGAGTGGCACAGACACCCATAGACTCACACAGAGACCCATAGAGTGACACAGACATCCATAGACTCACACAGAGATACATAGAGTGACACAGACATCCATAGTCTCACACAGAGACCCATAGAGTGACACAGACATCCATAGACTCACGCAGAGACCCATAGAGTGACACAGCCACCCATAGACTCACGCAGAGACCCATAGAGTGACACAGACACCCATAGACTCACACAGAGACCCATAGAGTGACACAGACATCCATAGACTCACACAGAGACCCATAGAGTGACACAGACACCCATAGACTCACACAGAGACCCATAGAGTGACACAGACATCCATAGACTCACACAGAGACCCATAGAGTGACACAGACACCCATAGACTCACACAGAGACCCATAGAGTGACACAGACACCCATAGACTCACACAGAGACCCATAGAGTGACACAGACACCCATAGACTCACACAGAGACCCATAGAGTGACACAGACACCCATAGACTCACACAGAGACCCATAGAGTGACACAGACACCCATAGACTCACACAGAGATCCATAGAGTGACACAGACACCCATAGACTCACACAGAGACCCATAGCGTGACACAGACACCCATAGACTCACACAGAGACCCATAGAGTGGCACAGACACCCATAGACTCACACAGAGACCCATAGAGTGACACAGACATCCATAGACTCACACAGAGATACATAGAGTGACACAGACATCCATAGTCTCACACAGAGACCCATAGAGTGACACAGACATCCATAGACTCACGCAGAGACCCATAGAGTGACACAGCCACCCATAGACTCACGCAGAGACCCATAGAGTGACACAGACACCCATAGACTCACACAGAGACCCATAGAGTGACACAGACATCCATAGACTCACACAGAGACCCATAGAGTGACACAGACACCCATAGACTCACACAGAGACCCATAGAGTGACACAGACATCCATAGACTCACACAGAGACCCATAGAGTGACACAGACACCCATAGACTCACACAGAGACCCATAGAGTGACATAGACACCCATAGACTCACACAGAGACCCATAGAGTGACACAGACACCCATAGACTCACACAGAGACCCATAGAGTGACACAGACACCCATAGACTCACACAGAGACCCATAGAGTGACACAGACACCCATAGAGTGACACAGACACCCATAGAGTGACACAGCCACCCATAGACTCACACAGAGACCCATAGAGTGACACAGACACCCATAGACTCACACAGAGACCCATAGGTGTGACACAGACACCCATAGACTCACACAGAGACCCATAGAGTGACACAGACACCCATAGACTCACGCAGAGACCCATAGAGTGACACAGACACCCATAGACTCACACAGAGACCCATAGAGTGACACAGACACCCATAGACTCACACAGAGACCCATAGAGTGACACAGACACCCATAGACTCACACAGAGACCCATAGAGTGACACAGACACCCATAGACTCACACAGAGACCCATAGAGTGATACAGACACCCATAGACTCCCACAGAGACCCATAGAGTGACACAGACACCCATAGACTCACACAGAGACCCATAGAGTGACACAGACACCCATAGACTTACACAGAGACCCATAGAGAGACACAGACATCCATAGACTCACACAGAGACCCATAGAGTGACACAGACACCCATAGACTCACACAGAGACCCATAGTGTGATACAGACACCCATAGACTCCCACAGAGACCCATAGAGTGACACAGACACCCATAGACTCACACAGAGACCCATAGAGTGACACAGACACCCATAGACTTACACAGAGACCCATAGAGAGACACAGACATCCATAGACTCACACAGAGACCCATAGAGTGACACAGACACGCATAGACTCACACAGAGACCCTTAGAGTGACACAGACACCCATAGACTCACACAGAGACCCATAGAGTGACACAGACATCCATAGACTCACACAGAGACCCATAGAGAGACACAGACATCCATAGACTCACACAGAGTCCCATAGAGTGACACAGACATCCATAGACTCACACAGAGACCCATAGAGTGACACAGACACCCATAGACTCACACAGAGACCCATAGAGTGACACTGACACGCATAGACGCACACAGAGACCCA